CTCTCTCTCTCTCTCTCTCTCTCTCTCTGTGTGTGTGTGTGTGTGTGTGTGTGTGTGTGTGTGTGCGTGTGTGTGTGTGTGTTTGTGTCGTTCCAATTTTGACGGATCTCCTCAAGGACGTTTGTTACAGCACCAGTCTCTCTGAGCTCTTCCTGCACTTTTGCGTTTTTGCGCCTGTGTAGAACATGGAGCCCATTATTATCGTGTGCCGGACTGTCAGCGGCGTCTTCGATGGGAACGTCTTTGTGAGGTGAAAATCGGCGCAGAGATATTGGTGGTGGCTTAAACCACCAGTACGGTGGTTTCCGAGTCACTTCGCTGAAGAAATGGGCCGTGCCATCTGGCGCGTTGCACGGGATGTACCGACCACGGTGCCATTTCGCCCGAAATCCGTCCAGGCAAGTTGGGCCTCTCATGCTACCCTTTTTGCATGGATGGATTTCGTGCGAAATTACACACTGGTGCATTGTGCTCGACGTGCCAGCTCGCACGGTCCATTTCTTCAGCAAGGTGGGCTTGCAAACCACCGTGCTGGCGGTTTGAAGCACAAGCATTGAAACTTTTGCTATGTCTCTTTTGGGAAGCCCCCTTCAATCGCTAGGCTATATCAGGCTTGGTGGTCTTGTGACTCTGCAGCAAGGACATCCCCTTTTTTTTTTTTTTAAATCCCAGAACTGTTTTGGATTTGGCAATCGCAAGCAAGGCATGTACTTAAGACGTTTATTAACACATTTGCTGTCCCTTCACACAACGTACGTTGTTGTTCTTTCACCCTTTCTGTTTGTTTACAGGGTATAGCCATTGCAATGAAATGCGGTGCAACAAAGGCGCAGTTCGATTCCACGGTAAGTGCTGCCCTCATCGACTTCTTTTTCTTGGGCCCTCCCCCAGTCCCTCCCCTAGTCCCTCCCCCAGTCCCTCCCACGTAGCTAGCGGTTCGGTTAAGTTTTCTGCTTAAATGAGGGGAAGGTCGCTACCGTCTTCACCCGAATAGAACGCCCGGTCATTATAGCTGTATTTGGGGCAACTTCCACTCCAGATACAGCGATGATTACCGGGCGTTCTATTCGGGTGAAGACGGTAGTTCGATTCCTTTGGACCAAAGTTGGTGGGAAGTTCTCAAGCATGAGACTACAGTCTTCACCCGAATACAACGGACGGTTGGACGGTCGTTATTGCCGTATCTAGACTCAAAGTTGCTTTAAATACAGCTATAATGACCGTACGTTCTACTCGCTTGAAGACGGTAGCGTATTAACCGGTGGCGGGTTGCTGCAGGGGTGGCTGCGCCTTCGTGGTAGTAGTGAGGTTGGGTAGCGTATTGACCGGTGGCGGGTTGCTGCAGGGGTGGCTGTGCCTTAGTGGTAGTAGTGAGGTTGGGTACACCGGCCCGTGGCGAAATCCAGGCTGGGGTGGGGCGAACTACTACAAGGGTTTCACTTTCACCCCAACCCGCTTAGCCGATAGGTTAAGTTTTTTTTCCGCTTAATGAGCAGGAGGTCGCTAGTTCGACTCTTTTGCACCCGAGTTTGGCATCGAGTTTGCGTGCATCAAGGAGCGAGGTACGGAACAGGTGAACGATATCACCACTGACTCAGCAGCAGCTGACCAGATCACAACAAAGCGATGCCAGATTGAGAGGGCGTGATGTTTGTGCAATGATCCAGTTTATTAAAAAAAAAAAAATCCATGAATTTCAATTTCCTCTATTCCTACATGCATATGCCAAAAGAGTAGGATATTTATTATTTAACACGATCAAAGTGGAAACATTTGCTAAAAGTATAGTTGGAAAAAAAAAAAGCAACCATAATCCGTTGAAGATTGAAGCCAATGTGCCAATCTTTCTCTAATAGCTTTCATTCGTTTACACCTTTTTCTACGACAAAGAGAATCAAAATTCAAAATTCCCAAAAAAAAATATAAAAATAAATGACAAAGGCGTTCAGAATTCCAACAAAAAAAAATTAAAAAAAATGACAAAGGCCTTCAGTCATTTATACTCCTTTTTTTTTTTCTTTTCTAAATCCGGTCTTTCCCGGGAGGCAGGGCTGAGTGGCTGAAGGCATGGTAGCAATTCTCCACCTAATGTCTGCACAGGAAAGTGCCCTCCTGTCCCCACGGCCGTCAACCTCTGCTGCGCCGATCTCACCGCTGTGCTTTTAGCTTTTTTTAAATAGGTGTTTTTAGCGGTGAGTATCATCATACTATCATGTGCTTTTAGCTTTTTTTAAATAGTTTTTTTTTTCC